AACTCGCTCAGATTCATTCCAAGTTAGACTCCGAGAATGGGGCAGGGTCTGGGGAGTTACAGGGGGACCATTCTTATTCAGTTATCTGGGAACAATTTGATCCTGTTGCTCCTGAGGAAGTGGACAGGGTCCTAGGGACTGTGAAGGCCACCACTTGCCATCTTGACCCATGCCCCTCCTGGCTGGTGAAAGCAGCTGAGGGAGGGACATGCGGTTGGGTCCAGGCGATGGTTACTCCATCCTCGCAGGAGGGAGTGTTTCCGGCCGCCTTCAAGGAGCCGTTGGTGCACCCCCTCCTCAAGAAACCCTCCCTGGATCCTACCATACTGAACAATTTTCATCCAGTCTCCCACCTCCCCTTTTTGGGGAAGGTGGTTGAAAAAGTGGTGGCTTCACAGCTCCAAAGGGTTCTGGAGGAAACGGATTATCTGGACCCTTTTCAGTCAGGTTTCAGGCCCAGTTATGGGACAGAAACAGCATTGGTCGCGCTTATGGATGATCTCTGGCAGGAGCGGGATGGTGGAAGTGCGACCATCCTTGCTCTCCTTGATCTCTCAGCGGCTTTCAGTACCGTTGACCATGGTATCCTGTTGGGACGGCTCAGGGAGCTGGGGGTGGGCGGCACAGTCTTGTGCTGGTTCACCTCCTTTCTTCAGGGCCAATCCCAATCGGTGTTGATAGGGGGCGAGAGGTCCCATCCTCGGCCCCTCCTTTGTGGGGTGCCGCAGAGTTCGGTTCTCTCTCCGCTCCTTTTCAACATCTACATGAAACCGCTAGGTGAGATCATCCGTCACCATGGGATGAGATATCATCAGTATGCTGATGATACACAATTATACATCTCCATCCCAGGTGAAGTAAGTGATGCCGTGACTGCCCTTTCTCGCTGTCTGGAGTCTGTAAGGGTCTGGATGGGGAACAACAGGCTTCAGCTGAACCCTGGTAAGACGGAGTGGCTGTGGGTTGATGGCTCCTCTGTATCCAGGACTTTGTCATCTTTGGTGCTCAATGGGGTGACACTACCCCAGACAGACCCAGTGCGTAATCTGGGAGTCCTCCTAGACTCACGGCTCCTGCT